CATTTAGTACCAGAAAAAGAACCACAAGGCAGCATCATATTTAAAGAGAGGACAAAGATTAGAACTAGGATTGGGGACACATATCTGCAATCCCAGCTACTCAGGGGTTTAAAGTGGAAGCTCAAGGTCTAGTTGGATCTGGAAATACTTTTAATACTAGTGCTTGGGAGGCAGACAAGGGTTCTCTGTGAGTTTGAGGCCAGCCTAGTCTACATAGCAAGTCTACATACAAGCAGGACAGCCAAGACGAAATAGAGAGATCCTGTCTCAAAACAAAATAAACAGCAAATAACCAACTAAAATATTTAGTAACTAGAGCCCTAGCGTGGAGAGATGTCACACATCCCTCATGTTTTTTCTTACATCTCACCAATCTTGCATAGATAGTAACCCTAATGCATGCATCCTTTTGTCTTGTGGTTTTATGTTTGCATGTGTGCGTGTGTGTGTGTGTGTGTGTGTGCATACGCACACGTGTGCATGTGTGTGTCCTTGTGAGTGGCCTCAGAGGATAGTTTGGAGCAATCAGTTCTCTCCTTCCACCTTGTGGGTCACAGTGATCAAAATCAGGTCTCCCTACTCTCTTCCTCCTTCTACGCTTTCAGGACTCACACACGAAGGTGCTTATGAGTCTGAGTTAACTCATTCCTTTTAAGGTCACAGGATATTGGCGCGGACATATTTTGCTTTTTCATTTCCTTGCCAGTGGATGTGTAGACTGTTCCCATCTTTCCTCTCTTGCAGCAATCTTCTTGGAACGGAAGTGGGATTCTCCAGCTGAGTTCCAACAAGTCGAATTGCTGGATGAGCTCTTGCAATGTCAGAGACACCAAACTGTCCTCTGTGGTGGGCTAGGATGCTTGTATCTCAGCATGTGACCACAAAATGTTGTTCTCTTCTTACTCTTGGCAACAGTTCACCACTTTCATGGGTCAAAATTTATCTTTGTTTTTATTTTCAATGAGAGTAAGTTTGAATGTTTCCAATTATCTTTTTCAAAAGATTTATTTATTTTATGTATTTTTTTTGCCTGCATGTATATTTGCACAATAGAAGAGGGCATTGGGTCCAACGGGACTACAGTTATGAATGGTCGTGAGCCACCATATGAGTGCTGGGAATTGAATTCAGTACCTCTGGAAGAGCAACCAGTGCTCTCAACCACGGAGCCATCTCTCCAGGCTGCTCCACACCTTTTGCTACACCAGTGTACTGGTCAGGGCTCTCTAGAAAAGCAGAACTGATAGAGTAAATATATGTATTTACACACACACATGCATTCATATATATGGTACTTATTAAAGTGCCATACAGGCTGTGGTCCAGCTAGTCCAACAAAAAGTCCAAGAATCCAACAGTTGTTCAGTCCCCGAGGCTGGATGTCTCATTGGAATCCTGAGGACGGAGGCGCTAATGCCAGCAAATTGAGAGCAAGGGTAAGCAGCAAAGAGCAAACGCTTCCTTCTCCCACGTCCGGGGAGGTGTGGGAAGGTGTGGTCCAGATTAAAGGTGTTATCTTCCCACCTCAAAAAAAAAAATCCGGATTAAAGGTGTGCATCTTCTCACTTCAAATAAAGAAGAAAAATCGCTCACAGGTGCATCCATACTCAGCTTCTTGGGTTTTAGTTAATTCGAGGTACAGTCAAGTTTGCAACCAAGAATAGCCATCACACCCAATAAAGGGAATTTTTGCATCTGTGTTTTGATATAGCTGTGCTGGAGGTGGAGAGGAGCTCGGTGGTTAGGAGCATGTTCAGCTCTTGCAGAGGACCCATGTTTGGTTCCATATATTTCTTATTTTACAGGTCTGTAACAAAACACCAGCTTTTGGTTTCTATAACTTCATTTTGTGCCATTTCTGCTTTTTTATTATTATACCCTTCCTTCTGCTTTCTCTGTGTTTATTTAGCTGACATTTTCCTACTGCTTATCTCTGTGATGAAGGCCATTGGCAAGAGCTCCCTCCTAATGTCTGTTGGATCGCAGTCCAACAGTCTTGCTATGCCAGCTTTTGCACTCGCTCCCTTCGGATTCTGTTCCTCGGGTCGGAAGGCTACTTTGCCGTCCGAGCTTTAGGCACTCACTTCTGAGTATTTTGCAATTTCAAGCCTGCTTTTCTTGTTAACCTGCATGTAATTTTCAGTTTTTCAGATAGGTTATTTTTCTTTTCCAAAAAAAAATGTATAACAAAAATATTTATCGTTCAGACAGGCCACAAAGATGAATACAACAAACACCTGTGGGTACATCTGCCATGGGCATCACTTCTCTTCAGAAAGAAAACTCAAATGTATACTTACAATTTCTAATTTTATTTTTTTGCAAATAGGTGCTTACAGTAAAAAAGAAAAAAGAAAAAAAAATCGCCTGACTTCCTGGCCCCTTCCTCAGAAGCAGCTGCAGTAACGGATTTCGGGCACGGTTTGCGCACGGGCTTCTGGCCTGGCGTGTTGTTGACTTCTAGTCTCGCTGAGCTGTGGTTCGTTGAGTGTGATCTGAAGATTCTCTGGAAGTTGCCGAAGCTTTGAGGTCCAACATACAGTCAGCTTCTGTACCTGTTCCAGGAATAACTGAAAAGAACACATCAAAGCTCCTTCTCTACACTACAAGGCTAAGCTCATAATTTCTCTGATCCCTTCCAGAGCATCGAGGCGAATGACCCACCTGGCCGGAAACTTCCTCCTCAGCTCAGGCCTTGACTACCCTCCTCAGTGTCCTTTGTCTTGCACAGCACTTCTGTGCGAGCAAAGCTCGCTCACATTTTAGACTCCACGTTTCCTGGGAGCGCGTGAGCAGCAACGCGGTCGTGGAGTGGATAGTTCGTTCAGTGCTTGGTATCAAAATGGTAAACACAGAGCCAAAAGAGACTTTGAATCTTCGTTACTGGGGTGACAGGTCTGTTCTTCCTGGCGGATCTCAGTCATTTCTCAGTATCTGTTCCTAGGGAACGGCCTTGTTTGTGGGTTCAAGAGGGACACTGAAACAAAATGTTGGGAGTATGACGTTTATTAGAAGTGTTATTAACGCCATAGACAGACAGACGGCAGCATGGAGCAGGCTGTGAAGGGGGGAAATCAAGGGCCCACAAAGCAGAAACAGGAGGAGTACGTTCATGAGGATGCGGATGGTTTCACAGTGTAAGCCTGCAGCCTCCCGTTCTGACTCCAAGACCAACACTCTGTTCGATGTAAGCTCACTTCCCCAGCACTGAGACTGTTGGAGATTCAGAGACCACATCTCAGAAGCTGCCTTTCTCCGTGAGAGGGAGGAACTCTTGCAGACATTGCGAATGGATTCCAATACCACATTCTTAGGCCCACTGGACCAGTTCACCTCACTGAGCCCTCTGGCTGACTTACCCGCCTCATCCTCATCTGCCGGAACGCGTCAGGGGTTGAATGTGAATAGCCGGCATCCTTCTGGTTTCTGCCATCTTCACATCTCAGAGTCAGCTGCGCAAGCCCAACCAAAGGCCGCTATAAGATGACTCTGTATTAGCTTTTCCTCTGAGATGGAGCGTGGTTCAGCTAACCATCACACTTGCAGTTGGGGTGCCAACCTTAGCCTCTCTTTGGAACTCATCTTGACGTATGTTCCAAATCTTTTGGCTCCATCCTCTTACCCGCCCCCCTCAGTACTTCCTCAGCTCCTATAGGCAGAAGAATATTCCTCTATAGAGAAGATATAAAGTCAATGCTGTGGCGCCAGGCTGTTCACCTCCCATTTCAATGATAGTTTACAGTTACCCAGGGTTTACCCCACCCCCGGTGGTCCACAGTTCATCTTCACAACCCTGCCTGTCCACAGTCTGACACTAATAGTCTTCCTTTACAGATGGGGCCAGGGGTTCATTCAGTGCTTTGTTAGAGAGTGCCGAGATTTGGGGTTCAAGACCCAGGATTTGACCCCGGCCTTCTACCTCCAGAGATCAAGCTTTTAGCTACCTCGGTGCTATTAGTCCACCTACTTAGTTGAAGGCCTCTCCAAAGGTTAAGGAGCTGTTGTAAGACTCCAGGGTGGGTGAGAGGCAGAGTAAGAATGTGCTTTCAGAGATTTGACTACGCACTTTGTGCAACTGCATCATTAGTCACTCTTCCTGGGCCACGGTGCATTTCCAGCTCGAGAGTGGGGTCTGGAATGTATGCAAAGGAAATGCCTTTAGCGGTCAACTGGAGAGACTTCAAAGAAGTGACTCCTTTTGGTAATTTCATCAGGTCTCACAATTCTTAGGGGAGCATGGCTAGGGCTTAACCAGCACCATGCCACACCTCTCAGCTGCTCTCCTAGCTCCGGCAGCAATCAGTTCTTTGAAAGCTCGCGAACACTTCCCTATTCAGGACTTTTACTTGTGTGTGTTCGTGTGTGTGTGTGTGTGTGTGTGTGTGTGATGTGGAGGTCAACCATGTGGTTCTCCCTCTCCTCTCCCCTCCCCTCCCCTCTCCTCTCTTCCGAGAGGCTTCACAGTAGCTATGGAGCCAGTCCTGGGGACCCGCTCAGTACACCAGGTTGGTCTCGAACACACTGCCTGCCCAGTAAGCACTTTGCAGACAAGAGTTATGTAACCGACTGTTATTACTCGTTTAGCAGCTCCACGAATGGCCAACGCTCAGCTAGTAACAGCAGAGCCAAATTTCTAGCTCAGGCTACAGGAAAACAAAACCCACATTCTTCCTCTCCAGTTTAAAGCCAGCATTTTTAACCCACAAGACAGAACGTGGGCTCTCCTCCGCAGAGCTGGCAGCGGGGGCGGCGGAAGTCGTTCCGGGAAGTACAGAAGCTGCCCGGGAAACTTCGTAGTTTGGGACTCAACCCACAGCTGTTGAGGCGCCATAGCAACGGGGGTGGGGGCGGGGGCCGGAAGTACTCCCCTAGTGAGCGGGAGAACGTGCGTAACTCACCAATAGGTGTTCCCTATTGCAGCTCTCCCCGCCTCGGAGGCGGGCCCTAAGAGCGACTTCCGGCGTGACCGCTGCTGGTCGGCTTCCGGGCGTGCGGTGCGTATGAAGGCCGCGGGGCGCTGCGGGTACCAAAACGGGCGTCGTTGGGGCGACTGGAGGACGGCAGTGGGGTCAGCGGGGCGTACGAGAGCGGTGTCCGGCGCTGACGGGGATATTGAGGCCCCTTAAAGGGCACGGATTGGGACCTAGCTCCGTAACAAGTTAATTGTTTATTTCTAATTTAATTTTTTTTAAAAATTGACCTTTTGAGACGTGGTCTCACCATGTAGCCTAGGCTGCTCTTGAACTCCTGTAGCTCCTGTCTCTGCCTCTTAGTGGGTCAGGCGGAGAAAGTGCACCTCGTCACTATGTTCACTGTCAGGTGATAGCTGACCAAAACAACCACCCCAGCCTCGTGCCTTGCCCCCCAGTGCCCCCTTTGTTTTGTTTGTGGAGCCGGTATTTGAAAGCCCAAAGCTAAATGTGTTCAGAATTATCGGTTTGTCCGATTTGGGAAAGGTTTAGGGTTCCTGTATTATGTTGCACATAGTACTGATAACCCCAGGTCACATGGCTAACCCAGGCCAAGTTCTCAAACGGAAGACTGGAGAAGTATAGATAAGGAACCTTGACTGCGGTTTTACTTATTTGTGATTATGTGTACGATCATGTTTTTCAATACGGAGTTTCTCTGTGTAGTCTTGACTGTCCTGGAATTCACTCTGTAGACCAGGCTACCCCGAACTCAGAGATCCACCCGTCTCTGCCTCCTGAGTGCTGGATTTAACGGTGTGCTCCACCGCTGCCCGGCAATCATGATTTTTATTGTTCGTCGAGTTTTTTTTTTTTTTTTTTTTTTTAAATCTGCTGGAAGTGGCATAAGAACAGAGACCGCTTTTGTTGTCCCACCCCCTTCTCCATCACCGTCACCTGTGTTCCTTTGTAACTTCAGTTCCCTCCTCTGTGAAAATGTCCCTCTAGAGGTTCTGGTGAGTTCGAAACCAGGCTGTGCGGTCGGAGCACCAACACTACCTAGCACAGGCCGCCCGTTGGTGCCCCAGGCTTTGCTTATCGTGCGGACCCCTGAATTTTAAAGTCCTTTGGGTAAGCAGCCAGTACGTGTGGTTAATCCTCTCTCAGTCTCTCTCCTTCGATGGCTGTCATAGCAGCATGCAGGCACAGCTCCTGGGTACCTTTCCTACTCCCACTTCTGACCTCCTCCCCAAATCACCCCATTTGACCTCTCCCTCTGCCACACTTCTCTCTTTGACTGTATTTACATATTTTTTTATTATGTTATATGCCTATAATCTGTAGAACAAAATAAAAAGCACCTACATGTGCGCCACCACAAATTAAGTATACTATCCCCCCACCACCACCACCACCACCAGAGTCCTCTCTCCTCCTCAGAGTACTCACTGCTCTGGATTCGGCTTCCTTGCTGTTGGTAGGTCTCACTGACCGTGTAGGGTCCTGTGATGAATACCATTTTCAGTGTTTGGCATCCTGTGTGAATGTGTGACTTGCTCTTTGCATCTGGTATAGTTTTGTATTGTTTTTTTTTTTTTCTTTTGAGACAGAGTCTCTGTATCACTGGCATTGTACAACAGGCTGGCCTTGAACTCAGATCCATCTGTCTCTGCCTCGCTGCTGGAGAGAAAGGCATGAGCCATTATGTCCAGCTTTCATGCATTTTTGAGCAGCATCCATGCTGATGTGAGTAGCCCTGCTTTCTTCACTGTGCTGGTGGTCCACGATGTGATTAGAATCTCTTTAGATGCCTAGTCCTTGGTTGATAGGCATTCATAGTGTTGCCATAGTTCCGTTACGGGATGCCTCTATGGACACATTTCCTGGGGCCAGAATGTATATAACAATAGTGTCTCTGGGGCCACGCAAGACTGCTGGAATCTACTCCACCAGAAGTGGAGGGAAGTCGTAGTCAGGCATTCCACTCTTACTCATCTGAAGATCCCTTTCCCTCCTGTTCCCTCCCTTTCTTTCTGTTCCTCTCCCTTCCCTTCCTGTTTTCTTCTCTCCTTTGGATTTACTTTATTTTATATATGTGTGTGTGTGTGTGTGTGTGTGTGTGTGTGTATGTGTGTCTGAGTGTGGGTATGTTCATGGTGCCCTCAGAGGCCAGAGCCTTGGATCCCCTGAGCTGGACTTAGGTGGTTGAGTGTGCTGGGAACAGAACTCCAGTCCCCAGCAAGAGCAGGGCATGCTTTTAATCCCTGAGCTGCCTCTCCTTTCTCTTTCCTTTTTGATAGGCAGTCTGTCTCTCTAGCCCACACTGGCTTGATCTCAAACCTGCTCTTCCTCCTGCTAATGCCATCTGGATTCCAAGATTCCTGGGTGTTGCTGTAGCAGTGTCTGTGTGGCGCTGTATTCACTTGCCTGACCACAGTAAGACTGATCAGTAAGCTTTTTCTTTCTTTCTTCCCGTTTTTTTTTTTCTTTTTTTCCAAGACAAGGTTTCTCTGTAGCTTTGTGGCCTGTCCTGGAACTAGCTCTCGTGGACCAGGCTGGCCTCGAATTTACAGAAAGATCCAGAAAGATCCGTCTGCCTCTGCCTCCCGAGTGCTGGGATTAAAGGCGTGCGCCACCACCGGCTGACTGCTTAGCTTTTTAATGCACTCTTGTGTACACCAGCCTCTTACACTGTTTCTGTGCTATTCTCTTCAGTTCTTCCTTCTTGTTCTGTCGGGGTTCTTAGTGTATTCTAAAGAAGATTCTTGTGGTTATGTGTATTTTAAACACCTTCCAGCTTATAGCCTCCTCCCCTTCCTTCCCCTCCTTTGGTATTTTTGGTGCGGGTTCTTTAATGAAATCAGTCAGTAATGTATCTTATGCTTTGTCTTTTGTGGCTTTTGTATCTTCTAAGGACATCTTTTTCTACTCTTGGATTATATGTTCTCCTAGTGTCATTTACAGTTGTAAAGTTTTTCCTTGACCCTGTAGGTTTGAGTTTGTATATGGTGTGAGGTAGGGGTTAAATTTTATTTTTCACATATGGCTAATCATTTGCCTCAGCACTGTGTGTGTGTGTGTGTGTGTGTGTGTGTGTGTGTGTGTGAGTATATACCACTGCATGCAGGTGTAAGTCGGAGGCCTACTTTTAGGATTGGTTCTCCTTTCACAGTGTGGGCCTGGGGATCAAGTTCAGGATGTCAGACTTGGGCTTGGCAGCAAGCATCCCATCACTGACGGATTCAGCCGAGAGCCCACCATGGCAGCTTTCACAGAAGGTTTGCTTTGGCCTGAGCCCTGTGCTCCACCGTGGCGCGTCTCCACACTCACGCACACCTCCTGAGTTCCCCATTCTGCTCCACTGGTCTCCTGTTTCTGTACCCTTGCCATGGTTCGTTCACCATTCCTGTCCTGATGTCTGGTGGGACTAGTCTTCCCACCTTTGTTCAAAGATATTTGACATTTTGTCTGTAGTTTTAGAATCAGCTCGTCAATCACATTTGGATTATTCACAGAGCCTGCTTGAATTTTGATTGACTTCGTATTAGTCTGATAGCACTGGTCCAGTGTCATTTTGAAGTGGCTTCTTTCGTTTCTATGTTTTCTGCAGTTATTTTTATGTTCCATTTTGTAGATTAAGACAATTTGTGCAGCACAAGAGCTCCGTGGGAGAGAACCTGTGTATCATGGGTGTGGCAATATGTTGGACCTCCCGCATCACACACATGCATGCATACATGTAGTTCCCCTGCTTTTCATCTTTGTTAGCTTTTTAGTGGGAATGCATTTTATCAACTTGTTTTTGTGTGTGAACTGACTCCATATTTGCTTTTTACCTTTATTCTGACTCCCACTTTGTTGATTGATATCGTTGCTGGAATGGATTATTTATTTATGTCTCTTTTTTTCTTTCTTTCTCTCTTGCTTCCACCCTACCAAGGCCTAGGATCTTGGGGCCCCTGCATCACCAGACCTGGCTAGGAGGGATTATTTATAAGTGCATTCCTTAAGCTCTGAACAAATGGACTTTTCTTAGTCACCTCTTTGCTATTGGCTTCTGACTTCATTGTCTCGTGGTCAGTCCAGTCTGTAGCCTGGCTCTCCGGCTGCCTTGGCTTGTCCTGTTCTGCAGCCAGCATGGTGGGCACAGTCATCCCCTTCATCTTCTGCTCTTACGCACACCTCCTCTCCCTGTGCTCTGTGTTGTGTTCGCCTTGTGAACCGAGGACCGTGAGCACCCACCTAGTGTGGACTAGTGTGTGCTGCCAGGATCCTGATGAGTTGACCTTGAGGCTCATGAGGCCTCATTGTAAAGCCGAACATTTTAAGCAGTTGTGTGACCTTTTGCCACTTTGTGATGCTCTCTATTTCTGCTAATCCTTTGTTTATTTTACTAGAAAGTGTATTTTGACTCATTAATTTAATAAAAGCTCTCTCAGTTTGCAGGATAGTTAGGTTTCTAGCATTTAGAAATAATGGAACATACTTTAAAATCTTGTCTAAGAGTTTTTAATCTTTAAATTGGTTTTCCTTTCTTCTCTTTTCTTCCCCTCCCCTTTTCTTCTCTTCTGTATCCCAAGGGTTGAACCTAGGGCCTGGTGCATTTTAGGTGAGCTCTCTGTTATTGAGCTATTTTTCTTCATTGTTATTATTAATCTAATTGTGTAACCGGAATTCATGTTGCCTGTCACGCAAAGGCAGAAATTGAATCTTTAAGCCATGCTTATTCATTGAGCTGGCAAACTGGGAAGACAGAATTAAATTAAAAAAGAAAAATGTAAGCCAGGCATGGTAGTGCATGTCTTTTGTCTCAGCGTGCTCAGGAGACAGAGGCAGGCAGAGGCAGGAGGATTTCTGTGAGTTTGAGGCTAGCCAACATAGTGCTTTTTACACAGTGCATTTTCAGCCACCAGGACTGCATACAAAGACTTTTTCTCAAAAACAAACACAAGTCTACCTTCCTTCTCTCATTTTCAGAAAGTTAATTGACAGGGGGCAGGAAACAGGCTGGCATCACTGCAGGGTGCAGTCTTGGCCCTCTGCTCTGATGGTCATCCTAACCTTCAGGGCTCATGATGCTTTTCTGGGTATCCTCTGCAAAGTTTTCCCTTTTATAGTCTTTCCTTGTGTTTGGGGAGAGGAGGACCAGAGTGCGATGTGTGGGTGTGTGGCTGCTGGCCTGCACTGTCCAAACAGCGAGGGCCTGCATGGACAAGAGTAGATAACGGAGCGGGCAGACTTAGGGCTTGTAGAAGTGTACATGCTGGTGGCAGGCAGTCAGAGGAAGTGGCTATGAGGAGTGTACCTTTCCAGCTTAGAGAGCCAGCCCATGAAACTGATGACAGTGACACAGTTTTTATTTTTATGTCTTTTTTTCATTAAGTTCTTGGGAAGCCTTTGGTAGTCTTATTTCACTTAAAATCAGTTTTTTTTGCCTTAAAGATATGTTTTCTTATTGCTTTATAGACAAACAGACTGAGCATAATAGCTAAAAATGTTCTCAGTCTGTTGGCCTAACGTCTTGGCAATATGCTTGTTGGAACACAGGATCACCTCAGATGAGTGATAACTGTGCTTCACAGTGCTGAGCTGTGCCATGAGCAGCGGCCAGCCAAAGGGGCTCGGTTGTAGTACAGTGTAGATGCGTGTGAGGACTAGGCAGGCCTGGTAAGCAGGACTCTCAGTGCCTCCACCCAGCTTCACACCCATGTGCTTAGTGCTTACAGGGCCCCGCCTGCCTGGCAGGAGCAGGTGTTTTGATCTGCCTTGTGTCGTGTGTTTATCTTTGTGGTTTGTAGAAAGATAAGTTTTTATTACATTTATTTTTGTATGTGTGTGTCTCTGTGGGCGTGGATTGACACATGCCGTAGCATTTGTGTAGTGGTCAGAGACAACTTGCACGAGTTGGTTCTTTTCTTCTACCGTGTGGGTCCTGGGGATTGAACTCAGGATGTGAGCCTTAGTGGCAAGTGTCTTTACCTGCTAAGGCATCTTGCTAGACCCAGAAGATAGCTTTCTGAGAGAGTGCAGTGGACTGTAGAAATAGCCCACAGTCCTCCTGTGATAGATGCTTTATTGGCAGCTGGGGAGAGTGGAAGGAAACCAGAGTCAAGTGCTTCTCAGGCGTGTTCTCAGCAGTGGGTGTTATGCTTTTATAGGGAGAACCCAAAGCTTTGACTTAGTTTCTCAAGGTAAGTGGTCCAACTAGGGTCCAGACTCAGAACTGTTCAGTCGTAATTGGCACAGGTTTGGTGGTTTTTGTTTTTTTTTTTTTTTTTTTTTTTTTTTGTGGCACTAGGCTATTACCTGTGTTAAGTCACCTGAGTTACAGAAGTTCTTGGGAGAATATTTCTGTCATTGTTTCCACTCTGCAGGCCAGAAACTGAATCATATGGAGACTTCAGCTGCCTGCTTACCACTTCATATGCAGTTAGTCCAGGAGGCTGTGGTTCAGTTGTGGCTCCAGCAGCTCTCAGTCCACACTGCTCAAAACCAGTGGCACGAGCTTGAGCCCTGACCCGATCTCTTCACTCCTGCAGTCATCAGCACGAGGAGCCGAGCTTTGACAACTGCAGCAGTGTTTGCTTGTCAACACAGACTAGGGCAGACCCCCCACCATTGCTCTCGCGCATGCAGGTGACGGTGGCTCTTCTTTTTCAGCTCCCCCGACATGCAGGGCAGCACGAGAAGAGTGGGTGCCATGACGGATGTCCATCGGCGCTTCCTCCAGCTGCTGATGACCCACGGTGTGCTGGAGGAGTGGGAGGTCAGGCGTCTGCAGAACCACTGTTACAAGGTCCACGACCGTAAGTGTTGTGTCCCTGTTCCCGGCAGCCCCTGGTCTGTATTAACCTAGTGATGTTGGGATAACAGCATGAGAGGTCATTTGGAAGTCCTGACCCGACCATTCAAGACTCTGATCGCCTCTTTCTCCACCTCCCTGAAGTGACTCTGACGCTTAGTCTGACAGGCAGAAGCCTGGACTCTGAAGGCGTGAGTTACAGTTCACAACAGGGCTCCAGTGTATACTCCAGCTTTGTTGTTTGTTTTAGCTAGGGTTTCTTTTGCTGTGAAGAGACACCATGAAAACAGTAACTCTTATAAAGGAAAACATTTAGTTGGGGTGGCTTCTATTTTCAGAGGTTTAGTCCATTATCATCATGGTGTGACGTGGTGACGTGCAGGCAGACATGGTGCTGGAGAGGTATCCAAGTGTCCTACATCTTGACTTACAGGCAAGGGAATTGGTCTGTCTCACTGGGTGTGGCTTGAGCATATAAGAGACCTCAAAGCCTGCCTCCATAGTGAACCCTTCCTCCAACAAGACTACACCTCCTCCCAAAAAGCTACACCTCCTAATAGCACCACTCCCTTTGGGGAACATTTTCTTTCAAACTACCACATTCCACCTCCTGGTCTCCAAAGGCTTGTAGCCATATCATAATGCAAAAATGCGTTCAGTCCAACTTCAAAAGTCCCCATAGTCTATTATTGTTTCAAACCTATTTATAAGTCCAGAGATCAAAGTCTCTTATCTCTTAACTATAATTCCCTATAAAATCAAAACCAAAAGCAGATTACTTACTTTCAACATTACCAAATGCAAGGAAGGGGGCATAGCAAGGAAACACTGGACAAAAGCAAGACTGAAAACCAGCTGGACAAACTCCAAACTCTGTGTCTTCATGTCTGATGTCAAAACACCCTTGAGATCTCCAATCCCTTTCATTTTGCTGACTGCAGCACGCATCCTTTCTTGGGTTGGTTCCACTCCCTGCCAGCAGCTCTCCTCAGCAGGTGTCCCACGACTCTGGCATCTCTAACATCTTCCAGTCTCCAACAGACCAGACTTCAGTTTCACAGCTTCTTGCAATGGCCTCTCTAGGCCTCATTCAGGGACACTCCTGACACATGCCTGGCCTCAGTGGCTTTCCTTAGTCGCAGAGGCAAATTCCATAGCCCTTCCTTTTCTTCTGTCCCTAATTCCAGAACCACATCACCAAAGCTGCCAGTTCTGCTGCTTATTGGGGCTGGAACATGGCCTTCTTGTTCAATTACATCTTTACCAGCTCTCTGTTTTCCATGGTTTCCTTCACTGTCTAAACTTGGCTATTCTGGAACTTGCTCTGTAGACCAGGCTGGCTTCAAACTCAGAGATCTGCCGGCCTCTGCCTCCCATGTGATGGGATGAAAGGTGTGGGTCACCATTCCTGGCTCTAAGCTTCCTTTTCGTTCCTTCTCACAAATTGGAAACTTAGCTGGGTGGGATCTTGCCCTGCAGTCACTATTCTCTTTATTCTATTTCTTAATATATTTATCTCCTTGAACACAGGATTTAGCTCTGTTCTGCTTCCTGGTGCTCCTTTTCTCCTCAAATTTTACATTTTGTTATTTACCCTGCTTAGCTTTCTCCTTTTCATTATAAATCTCCATCAGAGTTAACAACAAGAGTCTGTACTGGGCTGTTTGTAGATTTCTTCTGCCAGCAGAATAAATCCAAAATACTTTAACCTCAGACAGACTTTTGGAAAAGGACAAAACCACAGTCAGGTTTACCACAGCAATACCTCAGTCCCTGGTATCAACTTCTGCCTTAGGCTTTCAATTGCTATGAAGAGATACAATGACCATGGCAGTTTTTATAAAGAAAAGAAAACATTTAATTGGGGTGACTTCCATTTTCAGAGGTTTAGTCCATTGTCATCATGGTGTGACATGGTGACGTGCCGATAGACATGGAGCTGGAGAAGTAGCCAAGTGTCCTACATCGTGTCTGTCTTATGGGACATGGCTTGAGCATATATGACCTCAAAGCCTGCCTCCACAGGACACACTTACTCCAACAAGACTACACTTACTCCAACAAGATCACATCTTCTTATAGTACCACTCCCTTTGGGGGCCATGTTCCTCCAAACCACCACAGTGTCCTTGTCTTCAGGGTGGGGAGAGTGAGTGTAATTCACGGGATCCTGAGAGTTGAGTGTTTAAAGCAGAATGCCTGGTACTGGAGGAGTGCTAGGTAGCTGTTGTTAGGAAGAGGGCAGCTTAGCAAACTGGCAGGGCACAGCCTTAGACACAGCCAACCATGGAACAGGTGCCAGTTGTTCCTGGGCTACCCTTACGCATTTGGAGCCTCTGCTCTGCAGGTCATGGGAGGTGTGAGATGGTACTTGGGGATGGGGGTTGGCACATACTGAGGCCCCCAGTCATTGGGGACAGTAGAAACATGAGGTCAGTAGTGAAAGATCCCTGGAAGCACAGAAAGCCGACCTTGCTGCGTGTCTATATGGGCAGATTGGTAACCAAAAAGGAAAGTTGACATTACTTTGCAGTATTACTGTTAGTTTCTGGGAAAGTGCAGAATTATTTTCCTTGCTCAGGAAAGTACCAGAGTGGACTGGAAGGCTGTGCTGTGTACTCAGAGGTGCTGGCTTTTGTGTGGGAAGGTGCGGAAGGAGATGGTCAGTGGGAACCAGACACCTCTTATGCTGTCTTCCTTTATGAAGGAAGAAAACTGAAACTGAACACATTAGAGTGTTAGTGTACTCTTTTTTTTTTTTTTTTCGATACAGGGTTTCTCTTTGTAATATAGCCCTAGCTGTCCTGGAACTCCCTTGCTAGCTCCTTAGACAAGGCTGGCCTTGAACTCACAGAGAGTTCACCACCCACCTCTGCCTCTCTGGGATTAAAGGAGTGCACCAAGATGCCTGGTATTGTTAGTGAACTCTTGACAGTCTCTTCTAGCTCATGGCAATAAAAGTGTTTGGTTTTGTTCTGCATTTTTGTTTCCCTCCCTGTATTTCTAATTTTCAAGGGAAAAATGGTTTTAAAAAAAGTGAGCCCAGGCAGGAGGAGTGAGGAAAGGGGTGGGGCTGAGGACAGAGAGGAGAGGACACCAGGAAAGCACATGCAGTTGGAGCTCTATAGAAGGAGGTGGTGCCCATAGAGACGAGGGCGAGTGGACTGAGAGAGGAAGGCAGACCGTAGAAATGGGGTTCCTTCGAGATGTGCCATGGGGAAAGAGTGAAGGAAGGCAGGAAGAAACCTGTTCTCCAAAGCAGTGGGTCATGAAACACTCTGGGAAGTTCCAGGAACCGGCTGATGCCCAGGAGCAAGCGGAGGCTGGAGGCCTGAGTGGAGCAGCTTGCTGAAGTGACCTCTGCTCTGGAGCTGAGCTTGCTGGCCTAGATAGGACGGAGTTATGTCAGATGATGAAGAGCTCTGAGCCCCGGGAGGGTTTGGAGCAGGGAAGTGTGATTAATGCCTGGTTGGGAGCTGACCTCTAAGAAGTCTGTGAGCTGCAGTTGCCTGAACAGCAGTGAAAGGGGAACTTGAGAGACTTACTGAGAGGGAGTCTTAGACCTGTCTCCCTGCTTCAAGCCCCATAGGACTTGACATGTACCCCTCAGCATCCTCCAGAGGTGGCCTGGCCATGCGCTTGCACTCTTTCTCTCTCTCTCGTGCATGTGGAGGTCAGAGGGCAGCCGTGGTGTTGGCATTTACCTTCTACCTTGTTTGAGGCAGGGTCTCCTGCCCAAGCTTCCAGGATTCTTCTGTCTCTGCCCCATCTCCTCCTGTGAGCACTGGGATTAGATGTGCACCACTATGTCTGCTTTCCCTAACTGCTGGGTATTGCAGCCCAGTCCTCAGGCTCGCACAGCTGAGACACATCTCTAGCACAAGACCATCTCTTAGCTACGGGGCAGTTTCTGCCTCTTCCTTTTGGTTTCTTGCTGACAGGATAGGTTTGTGGTGCTGTGCTGGAGCTGTACAATGCCTTAGTGCTGGGAATCAAACTGTTCTTGCCTTTATTTGACCTCTAAGTTGTGACCTAACTTTGGAAAGTTCTGTAGACTGTGGTCTAGGAATGGATTTACAGCAGTACTCCCTTATCTGCTGGGATATGTTCCGAGATCCCCGAGTGCACGGCTGAAATTAGGACTAGGACTAACGCATGGACGTAAGCACAGCAGGAGACTCCCACAGTGATAAAGACCAAGTGAATGTGTGCTCCTGTCCTCATGCCACTGTCCTGTCCTGTACTCACTTGTCTGTGGCTGGCACGTGGTAAGTAAAACACCAGAATGTGGCACCTTGGCTAGGCGAGGCTTCTGAAACTGTCACACTGTGTGAAGCCTTTCTTCCTTTTTCTTTTCTTTTCTTTTCTTTTCTTTTCTTTTCGTTTCGTTTCGTTTCGTTTCGTTTCGTTTGAGACAGGGTCTCTCTGTGGTACTGGCACTCTGTAGACAAGGTTGACCTTGAATTCATAGAGATCTGCCTGTGAGTTTTGGGATTAAAGGTGTGTGCCACCACACCTGGCCATGTGCACCAGTTTTTGTGCCTGCCTGTGCTGAAGCAAACAGAATATAGCCAGTCTGTCATTTCCTGCCCACTATTAAAGAAATAAAAGGGCCACTTTCCAAGAATTTTTGTTACTAGAGATTTTAAAACAAATAATAATGGAGATAAATGATGTGAAATTAAAAATGCTTACAAGACCGAGTATTTCTTTTATATTTTGAAGCAGTGCCCAGGAAGGTCCCTTGTACAATGAGAAAAGCATTTTAAGTGTACAAAGCAGCAATTGACCTGTAGGGCATTGCCCTGCTATTGCCGCGTTCATGCGCACCAAAAGCCCTGCTTGTTCTAACCTCCCCTTTTACTGCCTGTAGGGGAATGTTTATTCCTCATTCTCCTTCCAGGGCAGAGTGTAGATTTGTCCCGAAGTTCTGGTGTAAAGCCTTCTGGCTCCTCAGAAAGAATCTGAAGACTTGTCTGTGTTTTGAGAGAACTTGAATTCTAT